TGGTTTTAGCTCAGATACTAAAGCTTTCTGGTTTGGAATATGTGAACATTTCCATTACAGTATCACAGGATTTTTTACGAAAACGAAATTATTTAAAACTTTTTGTAGGAATGTGCGGATTTTCAGTCTCAGTAAGTCTACAGCAGTAGGACAGCTTATGACAATGCTGCTTCAGCTCTCGTAGGATCAAAGGATCCAGGAAAACACATCCCCTGAAAAACGGTGCAGTTTCTTTAGATATCATTCTCCTCAGTTCACTCTCAGATCTGGCAGAGTTTCAAATGGACTCTTCCTGGAGGATTATCAATACGAGGTGTAATAACTGCATACTTTAGCTTTTACCTTTATTAGGAAATTATATCATGAATAAATATGAATGCTAGCTAAAGGGATACTGACTGTAATGCAGATGTAGTTAATAGAGATATGGGAAAAAGTACTTTCAATGTAATTTATGATAATTAAGTTCTGAATCTTGTTTAAGGGAGGTGTATGTACTGCTGGCCAGTTCAGAATAGTGATTAATTATATTTTTCTTGTGTAAATCAGTCTCTGCTCTATAGATAGCGATGAAATCTCATAACAGGACAAACAAAACCAGGTTTTTGTTCGGAAGCTTGGAGATGTGCAGGCTGGATGCAGATATAGGAGGTGAAAAGTTAGTTTCTATGGCTTATTTTTTGGATTTTTTTTTTTTTTCAATGGAGTTGAAGTACTTCGTCCATTCTGTGTCCCAAGCTTTTTGGTCCGCTGGAGATCCTGCAGGGGACCAGGTACTGGGGCTGGGCAGGGGTGACTTCATTTGGAATGGATATTAGGGACAAGCAGTGGTCTTTATCTGAGCCAGGAATAAGGAACTGAAGTAAGTGCTCAGAATCTGACCTTGAGTTTTATGCAATTTTCGTTTTTGTTATAGTAGCGGAATTGAGTAGTAGTACACAGAAACCTCAAGCGATACGGGCTGCAAAATGCTGAGCAGGGCGCTCTTTAGTCGTAAGGGGGAAATATTTAAAAAAACGAGTAAGGCCAAATGGTTAGCTCATGACAGGCTTTTTATGAAGTACTTCCACCTTTTTTGTCATCTAAACTCAAGATTTGGGTGCAGAATTCTTTTCAAAATACCGGATGTCTGTTTAGCACAGGGAGAGGAGGGAGCAGCTGGACAGACAGCACAAAGATAAGCTTTAAAATACAAATTTTAGGAACCCAGGTTAAAAACGTCAGGGAACAGTACAGTGCTGCCCTCTGAGAAGCCTGAGTTTCCTTTGAAACCAAAAATGGTACCTGGGTCTTTGTGTGGGGCGGCACTGAGGCTTATGTTCTCTGCTGCTTCTGGTTAGTAGGGCTGACCAGAACTAGTCCAAGGAGCTCTGCGTGGTCCTGCACTGGCTCCAAATCCCTTTGACATCTTTCTGTTGACCTGGGTGAAAATTAATTCAAGCCCTAGTAAGCAAGCCAGACAAACAGCAGGAGGTGAAACACTGTAGAAGCGTCATACCCGAAATCCCACCGCAGGGTCTGTGGCCGAAATCTGCTGAAATCCAGACCGGCACACTGGGCTGCGAGAAGTCACGGCTTGGGAATGGGGGAGAGCTGGGGGAGAAGAGGAGGTCAGGAGAAAAAAGGTGTCAGTCATTCTACAGCTTCACTTCTGCCTTGTTTATCAAACTCAGTGTTTTCCTGGCTGAAAGGCACTTGGATGAAAAAAGAAAATCCAAGCTGGTTTCAGTATATTTACAGTTGGATTAGATGCATGCAATTAAATGCCTTCTGTATGGATGATCAGTTTGCACGTTTCCTGCCCCCCTTGACCCTTTAACACGACTTCCACTTTTAATCTGCAAACGTTCCTGTTCTCTCCCTGTGAGTACAGGAAAAGAAAAACAGTTTAGAATTTGCCCACGAAAAATATACAGGTCAGGTGGATTAGAAGAAGATTGGCAAATAGAAAAAGGTTGCCAAGTACCCAGGGAACAGGTGTTTTGTTTAGTGTTTTACACTGTGTGCCAGAAAATCCACAATATAAATATTTAATAATCTAGGGAAGGCAAAGGGGTCCGGGAAAGGATGATGGTGGGCAAGGCAATACTGTGTCTTTAATTTTCTTTTCTGAAGGAAGAAAGTCTGCATAGCAATGACAGGATCACTTGTTCATGCCTTTAATGTGTGATCTGTTTTCTCCAGTGGAGGGCACTCAGTGTATCACAAACTAGAACATTAGCACCAACAAGCTCCAAAGCATCATCGCTCTCTGGAAAGCCTTCTGAATTAGACAAGAGCTGCCTCTCAGCACAGCTACAAAACACTTTAAACCTGACCAGCTAAATGGATAAACCTATCCTGCGTAGCTTTTAAACTGGGGGCTCGCACAGCCCAGGAGGCCTGCCTGCTTCAGGACCGGGGAAGCTGGAGGATGGATGGCTGTGTCTGGGAATGGCAAAAGGCAGCAGAATGAGAAATGCTAGGTACCGGGAAAGATTTTTTTATTTCTCCCAGAGAAGTTGGTTTACCTTCGTGGTCTGCTATAGCTTTTACTTGCTGATTGCCACTTAATGCTGATGGTTCTCTGATGACTTACACAATGGCTCTCAGAGCTTAGAGTCCCTCCCTACCCCCCCACACTCCCCCCCATCCTTCGTCCTGTCTTCCCCACCCCCAACCCCTTCCCTGTCCTTTCCCTTCCTCATCCCCAAAATTCTTGCTTGTCCTCTCTAGGGAACTTTGTGTGGGTTACTGGCATGCACGCTGGATGGCGGTGATGTGAGTGGCAACCGTGCTGTGACATGAAGATTCTGATGGTTTAAAGAAAAGAGACCAGTTTTAAAAAGAGAGAGAAGCAAAGGGAAAGCAGAAAAGGAAAGAAGGCGACAGCTGGAGAAGGAAGAGGAGGACATTTGTTGATGACAAAAGGATGGGTAAGTGAACTTTTCCTGTTTGTTAGCACGGCTGCAGCTGGATGGTATATTTTTCAGTTGGATTATTAGCTGTTTGAGAGGGGGAAACAGTCTGAACAGCAGCAGTGCATTCCTTTGCCAGGTGACTCACTGTACTTGCTATTGTATTTTTAGATCATGTGTGTGTGTGTGTCCCCCCCGCACATACACACCTTTCCTCCTGCAGTGGTTTTGTATGTAATTAATCTGTAAATGCATGCACCGAGTTAAGGACTGTAGAGAGTACGGTCGCTGTCTGTGCAAGCCACCCACACACCTGCAGACGTATAGATAAGTACATGTATGCATGAGGCACGCTCACACAAAATTTCTTCTGGGTTTATATTCATAGTCGATGAGCCTGTAATGGTATTATTCAGGCTGTCAGGGAGGACTGTTAACACTTTGCAGTATGTGGGAAGCGAAGGGGAGGGGGTGATTTTCTTGTATAGGTGATTTGGAAAAGGCTTGTTTGCTCTTTGAAAAGATACCCCCAATATTGCTGCTAGATTTCCAGCAGTCATTTGCCAGTCTTTATTTTTTTTCAAGTGTGACAGGTTTATTTCCCTCCCTCCTTCCCCCCAGCCCCCAAGTCTGTAACAGCCAGAACATATTTCTCGCTGGCTGCTGCTGGCACATAGGCAGCAGCGAAAGATGAGGATTTAAATTAAAAATCTAACTGTTAAAGTGAAAGGCAAGACACGTAGTCAGGGGCGTTTTAGATTAGGAATTATTTTGCAGATGGCCCCTTGGTTTAAAATTGGATTAAATAATTGCAGCACAGGCTTGGTTTCGTGTCTGTGACAAATAATAAAGTAGTTATTTATCGAGGAGATACCGGCCCTTAAAATATTTCCTGTTGGAAGAATGCATTTTAATTGTTAGCAAGATTGCAACTCTGGACAGAGGCAGCAGTCCTAAAATTATTACAGGCTAAGGAAAGCGTGCGTATGTATGTTGGATTTTCTGACAGCCCCTCCAGCCCCTTTCATAATTATTCAAAGAATGTGGAAAATGTGCCTGTCCTCACGTAACAGCATTGCTACTGTATGATAAATTTGACGTCTTCAATGCAAAATCTTCAAATCGGTAGGGCTGTGGAAGAGAGGGGAGTCGAAATAGGAATATACCCCTTTAAACTTTCTGTGTTTTGCTGCCCTTAAGGCAGTGTTTAGATGTAAATACCTGATGTGTATGTTTTTACAGAGTGTATAATGTATATGCAAAGTAACAAATGCTTAGGTATTCACAGCTAACTTCAAATTAATGTGTGTTGAGACTGTGATTCATTTTAAAGAAATAGGTCTGCTACCATTATCTTGGTGTTGGGGTCCCACACGGGCATTGTGTGGTACGCTTCTCTGTATGGTTGAACTTGGTTTCTGTGCATCTGTTTATATGTTTTAGGTACATAAAAATAAACCTGCTCTTAAAAACAAATCGCTTGGTGCAAAAAATAAAGCCTTTACTTGCTGCCTAATTTTACAATAAATGCACGTTGTAAAGATGGATCAAACTTCATGATAAGTAGATTTCTCACTTTTTTAGTAATTTTTGGAGGAATTAGACTTGCAGTTGCTTTTATTAAGAAACACGTTGAGCAGCACGTAAATACCAGAAGCTTTGGCTCATTTCCTCTCCAGCACTATGGAGCATTCAGCACAGTGACTTGACAAATATGTTTATTGTTAAAACCTCAGCATCTAGTGATAAGGATATACCAGCTACATTGAGAGATGATGTACAGGAGAAAAGCGAATAGAGAACAGGCTCTTGGTCCTTCTGAGGGATCATAAATCACCCACCAGTAATTGAATAACAAGAGTAGGTTTGGTGATGGTGCGGGTAGGAGAGATGGCAAGCCAGAAACTCAAAGGAACAGGCATTTACACAACAAAAAGTGCAAGACAGGAGGCAAACAGGTTGTCTTCAAAATCCACTGCTTCACTAATGCTTTATTAGAAACCCCGCTGACGTTAGTAATCTGCCGGCGATTTATTTCAGTAGCTTTACAATGCACATGTGTTTTCTTTTTAATATTGTAGGTTTCCATTTAATTAAGCAGCTGAGAGGCATGAGTGTGGTGTTAGTGCTCCTTCCTATGGTGCTGTTTGTTGTGCTTGCGGGGGCTCAGCGAGCTTGCCCCAAGAACTGCAGATGCGATGGCAAGATTGTGTACTGCGAATCTCACGCATTCAGAGACATCCCTCAGAATATTTCTGGCGGGTCTCAAGGCTTATCGTTACGGTACAACAGCATTCAGAAGCTTAAATCAAATCAGTTTGCGGGCCTGAATCAGCTCATATGGCTTTATCTTGACCATAATTACATCAGCTCCGTGGATGAGGATGCATTTCAGGGGATCCGCAGGCTGAAGGAATTAATTCTAAGCTCCAACAAAATTACCCATCTGCACAACAAAACGTTTCACCCAGTCCCCAACCTCCGCAATCTGGACCTCTCTTACAACAAGTTGCAGGTGTTGCAGTCTGAGCAGTTCAAGGGCCTTCGCAAACTCTTGATCTTGCATTTGCGGTCTAACTCGCTGAAAACCGTGCCGATCCGAATTTTCCAAGACTGCCGAAACCTTGACTTCCTGGATTTGGGCTACAACCGCCTGCGGAGCTTATCCCGTAATGCTTTCGCTGGCCTTTTGAAGTTGACAGAGCTCCACTTGGAGCACAACCAGTTTTCTAAGATCAATTTTGCCCACTTTCCACGCCTCTTCAACCTTCGCTCAATTTATTTGCAGTGGAATAGGATCCGGTCTATTAGCCAAGGGTTAACGTGGACTTGGAGTTCCTTGCACAACTTGGATTTATCAGGAAATGACATTACAGGGATAGAGCCTGGGACCTTCCAGTGCCTCCCCAACCTGCAAAAGCTGAACCTGGATTCCAACAAACTCACCAACATCTCTCAGGAGACCATCAATACATGGATCTCGCTCATCTCCATCACTCTGTCCGGAAATATGTGGGAATGTACTCGAAGCATTTGCCCTCTGTTTACTTGGCTTAAGAATTTCAAGGGAAATAAAGAAAGCACTATGATATGTGCAGGCCCTAAACATATCCAGGGTGAAAAAGTGAGCGATGCTGTGGAAACATACAATATCTGTGCTGAAATCCAGGTGGTGGTTACTGAAAGATCGTACCAAGCACCCAAAACCCCACAGAGACCTGTCTTCATTCCTAAACCTACTGTTTCCAAACTGGAAAGCAATCAGCCAACATCTGCTGTGCCAAGCCCTTCTGCAGACCTCCCGACACCTGGAGTGGAACCAGAGTACGAGCACGTTTCCTTTCACAAAATCATCGCTGGGAGCGTGGCCCTCTTTCTTTCCGTGGCCATGATTCTGTTGGTTATCTACGTGTCGTGGAAGCGCTATCCAGCCAGCATGAAACAACTCCAGCAGCACTCTCTCATGAAGAGGCGCAGGAAAAAGGCCCGAGAGTCTGAAAGGCAAATGAACTCCCCTTTACAGGAGTATTACGTGGACTACAAGCCAACAAACTCTGAGACCATGGATGTATCTGTTAATGGATCTGGCCCCTGCACGTATACCATCTCTGGCTCCAGGGAATGTGAGGTATGAACCATGATCCTCCTAAAACCATTTCAGCTGCTGGGAAGGAGAGGTAAATGTTTGAAGCTCTTGAGGTGTCTCTAAACACTAGAAAGATTAACCAATTTTTTTTTTTTTTTGCTTTTGGGTTTGCTCAATTTGAAAGGTTATCTCATTAAATAACAACAGTCAGGGATTATTTTGAATAATTATTAAAAAAATAGGTTACGTTGAGGTAAACAACGATGGTGAAGGCATCTGGAGTGTTATTTTCCTCCTATTTGCACCCATTTTATTAGCAGCAGCTACAAGAGATTTTTAATGCATTGGTAGAAACAGAGGAGTTTAAGAACCTTTTCTGTGTTAAAAATAGGTATGGAAACCTCTTTCCTCCAGATCCCATGTCACATCTTGAGGGGCTTGTGGCCTGTGTAAAGATAATGCCAGAGATTGTCTGCATTTTCTGTCTGGTTCAGGAGTAAACCAGGGGACAACAGGACTGCAGCACAGCCTTAGGGTTAGGCACTTGCTTGTTTTCCCAGAGAAGCAGGAACGTACAAGCTGCCTTACTAGCTCTTCTGAACTTGAGCCTGGCAAAGGCCCCAAGTCAAAGGGTACGTTTGCAAATACCTGGGTTGGGAGAGGGTGATTCTTGGGGTTTTTTTTAGTTTCATTACAGTGATCAGTGAAGGGTTAGCTTGAGACACAGCTCTACTGGAGTTAGGAGTTTCTCGTGCTTGAAGCCATGTTGTGATTTTGACTCAGCAACATGGGGAATACAAATAGGAAAAGCTCTTAGTGCTTCCTTTGTCTGTTGTTCAGCTTTGGCAAGAAAATTCCGTATTTTTTGTTGCTGTATTGTCAGTGACTCTATTAATGTGTATGTAAGAAATGTTTTTACTTGGGAATGCCATTGCTTATTTATACCTGGCAAAGACAATTTGGGCAATTACATTTCAGGACTTGTTACTTCATCCTGCCCATGATGTGATATTAGAGGACCATGGGTGATTTTGCTTCCTTGGTTGTGGACATCCTGCCTGAGAGTGCTTAATGTGCCGGTTGAAATGTGTTTATATCCATTTATGCCGATTGGGTTTGACTATGGTAGGTTTTGCCCAATGTCTTTGACAGCCGGGGAGTATGAAAGGTGTGTTGAAGTTGAGCGGTGGTGAGCAGGCTGCAGTCCTAGGCTCCTCATTTTTTTAAAAGTGGATGTTTTCCCTTTCTGACAATAAGGCATCTTTAGGATGTTTCATATTTGGCACCTGAAATCCGTAGCTGATTTTGGGCCACGGAGCTAAAGGGGAAGAAGAAATAAGTGTCTGGGGTTGCTTTCTCTGGAGCAGTGTTGTCTTCAAAGAAGAAAACTGCCTGTTGTACCCTTGCCATTTCTGCCAGTATCATGTGAATGACAATGTGGGGATTTTTTTTCCTGTTAACAGCACAAGTAGCAAGTAAGTGATGCTAACAAAGTTATTTTGGCTTTTCACTGGCTGTCACAAGGAGCATTAATTTGACCTGAAAGGCTGTCTCCTCTTCATGCTCAACTTCAACACCACTGAAGTTTCATTAGCTTGAATAAAATGCAGTTTAATTTACACCAAGATGATAGGGAAGACGGCTGAATCTGCACACCATAGCTGAAAGTCCATGTAATGAAACCGCAATCTGTAACAGAACAGATCATGATTGTGGTGCACAGAAGACAGGGAATATGTGATGTTGTTTGGGAGACTGAAGTTCGGGCAGTTTGGATTATAGGAGATAAATAAAAAGTTGAAGAGTCCTACCGGGTCTAGTAACAGCAGGTCAATGTAGCATCATTTCTTCACGTTGATGTCGATGATTGCACACAGCATTCAGCACAAGGGGACCCCAGTTCTCCTGGTTTCTGGGTGCTGTCATGGTACCAGAACAAGTTTATTCCACTACTCCGTCACGTTAAGTTAAGCTGGTGCACAACTTTGCAGAGCTCAGGCTGTTTATCGTGTTGTCCACGGGATTCTTGGTTATGGTGTACATCAGTCAGACTGTACTGAACATGACAGTGCCATCCGAGGCTGTGACTAGTAGAAAGTACACTCTATTTCCATGGTGGTTAGTACACCTTGGCTATTAGTGCAGAAGACTTCAGGAGACAGAAGACAGCAGATCATTGAAGGCACATGTAGCAACCATGAGCCCCCACTGAAATACTGTCTTCAGCTTGGATTTAACATTCTTTGTCTCCATAGCTACAAGGTTCCACTTGTAAAAGGATAGATATGCACTGTACAGTACTTAAAAATGGTAAAAAAAAAATAAAATCCTTGTAGTAGCTTCAGTAGTGGAAAGGTTTTATTTTGGGGGAGAAAAAAAAAGAAAATGGAACATTTCATTATTTACTAATTTACTCAGATGTACGTACTTTTGGGAAAACTATGATTTTGTACCAGTGAGACATAGCTCAGGCCCACCCTCCTGTGAGTCTGACCTGCTCGTTCACTGTGCTCAGACAGAGGTTTCTTCTGAAAACGGACCGCTGAGAGGGGAGAAGAGTGTCTCGTTAGCCGGCTGAAGGCAGGCGAGCTTTCACAATTCGTTGGTCGTGAGTTTATTGACTTTCCTTTTTTAGTAATATTTTCAAATGACTGTCTGCTTTCCCGTGTCTCCCCCTGCACACGCCTGTAAGTACTAAGGTGTCCAAAAATGGTGTGTCTTTCAGGAAAGAAAGAATGGCTTCGTTCCATTTCAACCTGGGAAAGATGCCTGAGCAGCCTCAGTGGCTGGTAGTTGGGCGATAATGAATGGTTTCTGAGTGTGGCCTAAGGTGGTGTGAGCATGCCTATTATGTTCTCAGTGATGGTTTTGGTTTTAGAAGTATCCAGCTCATCTCATCCACAAACCACATGTTTTCCGTGGCAGAACTGGCCTTGAAATAACATGCTTGGGGATTTATGTAGGTTCTTTTTTTCACAGCAGCTGCGCACACGAGCAGGGGCGGTGTGTGGTGGGGGTTTAAGGTCAGTGAGATTTCTGGCGTAAGCCAAAGCCACGCAGGCATACGAGAGCTGCCCTGTGTTGGGGCCTTACACTGCGAGCAGGGGGGTTGCGGGTGCAGTTTGTGTGGCGGCTTTTTCAAGCCCGTGCTTTATGAATTATTTCTTGTGCTGTGGAGGCAGAGCCAAAGTCAGGCTTGCTGTAAATGGGAGCAACTCTCTTGGCATCGGTGGGATTATAATCACTGACACCTGGCCTGTGCTATTCTGTTTAGTCTGTTGGCATGGGTTTCTAAAATAACTGGATGCTTATGATTTTGGCTCTCACCATCCAGTCAGCAGGCTGCTGCTATCTCGTTTTGGTATTTGGTTTGCTTTGTGCATGTGCGTCTTATTCCCTCTCTCTTTCATATTTATTTGTACATTTGCTGAAGATCTGGGAGCCATAAAAAGCAATTTCATAAACCAAGCTGTAATACGATGTATTTCATACGTATCGCACACAAAATATCTATATATAGCGCGCTATGAAGGTATATGGGGAGAAGGAACATTACTACAAAAACGTTTCATTCTTTGTACTGGAAGGTTGTTCATCTCCCGTTTCTCAGGCTGGCAGTTACAAAACAAACCACCACCAACCAAACAAGTGAACATCTTTTTGTTAGCTGAGCACAGTTGATGTGGAGCCCTTTGAGAGACGATTGACACAGACCCTGCGAGGTTACGTGTTAGACTTTCGCGTCTCAATGTCTAACCATGCCCCAGCGCCTGACAAACAGGCCCACCTGTTCACGTACGAGTACATCTCTGCTGTGATGCTCCTGTGTGTTCCATTGGAGTGAAAACCAGGGCGGTTGTCACTTGTATTCATACATGCTAAAATCAGTCACACAAAATCACGTTCACTTTGAATTCTGCTCCCTCCCCTCTTGCCAGTGGGAAGAAATAGACTGAGAAAGGAATGCAACATATCCAGGCTTAGTGGGCTGCTGTTGACCTCCTCCTTTTGAGCCTAATTTAAAAGGAAACGTTGACATGCCAGTGTTGTTTATTATTTATTTACTAAACACCATTTGTTTTGAACAAGATGCAAAAAAGGAGAAAACCAAAATCTCTGTGGCCCAGGTGCTGTTCAGTCCAGGTTCTAGTTCTGTGAAGGGCGTTCATGGTTTTCTAACCCAACTTTGCAAGGGCTGCCCAGCAACTAAGCATGAGCTTATGGGGTATTGCGACCTCAGGAGAGAAATCACTCAATGATTTGACAGACTTTTATTTATTTATTTTAAGAACAGTGATGATATTTCCTTTGGTCATCGGCCTTATGTTTTTATGAGGAATACTCAGCAAGGACTTCATGGCAGAGGTGTAAGTTCATCATAGCTTGGGGCAATGCGAAAGGAAGGTGATTCCACAGGTGGTGCATTACAAAGAAAAGAACGTGGAGGGTGATGAGTGAGGAATATGGAAGCAGTAGTAGTTAATTAGATAGCCTACCGTCCTCATTTGAGGGCCAAGGCAGTGCTGTTGTCTTTTCAGTGGCTCTGTTTTGGAACACAGTAGCATGGGCATTATTAATTTATCTTTCTTCTATCCTTCAGTGCTATGCACCTTCTCTGGCTTTCTTCCTCCACCTCTCTGATTATAGATGGACCTTAAATTCTTGCTTGAGTTGTAAACTGGAGGGTGAATCAATCTAGTGAAACTGTCATAAGCTCTGTGTTTGTATTGGGAGAGTAAGCAAAGGCTAAGCTGGTAGTGCTTTTCCTCAGTGCAGTATATCTGCAAGAAATATGTCAGAAGTGGCTCAGAGGTGAAATCTTTTAGGCACAGGGCCAGTGAGAGGTTTGAGGAGAAGGTAAATTTTAGAAATGTCCTAAGGAATAGGACCAAAGGCAGAAATTTGCATTTGTTACCATTCAGAGCCTTTGTTGGCGTTGCATACTTGTTATTGCAAGTATAGTGTCAATATGCAGAAAGTTGTGCTCTAGCAGCACTAGTGAAGTAGCAGCAAATGTAGAGGGGCAAATTTTCCTGGACTCA